CTCTCTCTCTCTCTCTCTCTCTCTCTCTCTCTCTCTCTCTCTCTCTCTCTCTCTCTCTCTCTCTCTCTCTCTCTCTCTCTCTCTCTCTCTCTCTCTCTCTCTCTCTCTCTCTCTCTGATAGATAGCGGATGACGGCAACCTTCCGCATCAGTGAATTTTACAGATAAATCCGCATGATTCACAATCGCGCTGTCGTGAATTTCTATGGCCTGGTATGATTCATCGGCATTCGGCATCTGCGCATGTCGTGGCGCATGCCAGCTAGCTGCGCCGATGCGCCAATGGTGGGTAGGGGTGGTATAGAATGTGGCAGAGAGAAATCTGCTGCCCTGGGAAAGATGGGCCACGCCAGCACAGCACAAGCAGGCTGCGAGCGGTAGAAGAAGCTCCGGATGGTTTCTCTCGGAAATCAGGGAAGACCTGAATAGAATCAAGTGGATAACGGCTAGGTGATTCAGAAGTGAGCATCATAGACGGCCGATCGCAGCCAGCCCACATCGAGCTGCGCGGTAGAGGGGAGCGACCGCCAGCAGTCAGCAAATATATCAGTGCCTCGGTGACTGTGCGCGCGCGCGTGTGTGGTGTGTGTGTGTGTGTGTGTGTGTGTGACAAATCACACGACATCATGTTGTCATTGCGAACGATTACGTCCCTCGCGGCGTTGATAATACTCGCTATCCTAGCTGTCACATCGTCAGGTAAGGACAGGATGCTTCGTGTCACGGCGTTGGCAAAGTATTAGATATACGGTGTAATAGGGCTAAGGTATTACCAGGGACACGCACGCACGCACGTACGCACGCACGCACGCACGCCCGCACACACACACACACACGCACGCACGCACGCACGCACACACACACACACACAACACACATACCGTTATCCCACTTGTGCCTATGTATAGTCTCTATACAAACGCTTGTATGCATGACTGCGTACGTGCGCATCTATGCACGCACGTGTGCGAATACATACGCACGGACGCACGGACGCACGGACGCACGCATGCAAACGCACACGTACGCACGGGCACACGCACACATTGTGTTCTGTGCGCAGCTGTGTCGCATACATAGCATGCCATTAGATACATCGTGGTATATCATTCATTGTATTCAGCATATGTAGCAATACACCCGGAATGTGCCTATATATCGACAAAGATAAGTCCTGTGCATGTCGAATGCCCACAATAACATATTGTTCGGTTTCAGACGAATCAATTAAAAAAAGAAGGATAATGGGTTGATTTATCGACGACAAAAGAACTGACACTATGGTTGACATTTTGTTCATGTATGTGCAGATAAATGTATTTCACGGAGCAATTTAATTCAATATTGCAAAATATGTGCTCATGAATGTACGAAAAACGACTGTGAAGTGAATATCTCAAAACCGATATACCTACACTGAAAATTCGCACAAGTCTATTAAATAGCGACATATACTGTCTCAGAGAATCCCACAGAATTGCCCTATTTGTCATGTAATAGTTCCTTGTACGTCGACTGAAAACAGGTGTTTATAATTATTTCATGTACATGCAATGAATCTAATTCCCTGATAAAAAAAATCGCGTGGACGAAGTATTTGTCAAATATTTTCTGTACCTGTATAACTGTCTGCGACGTAGGCCTACTGTGATCTTTTGCTAACAAATTTGATTCAACACATGTATGTGAAATAAAGATAATATCAAGAGCTAATAAATTTAGCTATTTATTACTTCTTGATAATATTATCTTCGTATTTACCCCGAATCCGTGTAAGCCGGAGTAGGTATGTGATACCTAAACACGCGTGAACTGAAAATTCCAATAATACGGGAAGTAATGCAAATAACATGATGCAGAAGATAAATCGTATAATTACTCTGTCGAAATCGTGCAGCAATATAAGTGCTGTCGTTGGGAATGCAAGTAACTGGCTAATTGTTATTTCCATAACAGTTATAATAGGCACCAAATATTTCTTGACTAGTTTGCCGTCCCTTTACCCATCAATCTCTCTACCTGCCCACCCTCTCACCAATAAACTTACCTTCTTAATCTACCACCCATCCACCACCTGATTTATCCATCCATGTGCTAACCCAACCATTCAGCTGAGAGGGTTTCTATGCATTTTTGATGCGTTTTAAGCGTGGAGGTTTAATCGAAGCAAAGAAAAAAACATGGAAATAAGATAGGGTTCTAATAACGTCTGATAACACTTTTTACAAACCGACATGAATGATTTAAAAATACTAGCTTCAAGTTACCAGCAACGTATGGAAAGATACAGCTTCTCATAAATAACATATAAGATTATAGATCAACGCAATCCTAGCAGAGTAATATGTAAACTGGTTACGCATTGTTTGCAAGTGTTGCACTTATCGATAAAACCAAGAGCTCATAATAGAGATTATGAGCTCTTTATAAAACGTCACAACCGAGCGGCCTCATACTGAAGTAAACGCAAAACGAATATCTATACTCTGGAGATGAGACGACAATACTACGCTATACGCTGCGATCGGTCGTACAATATGGCGTATAGGTAGAGCATATAAGCAAGCACGATGCAGCGGAGCGCTTAATACTCATGCAAGCCCACCCAATTATTACCTTTAATTTAGCGACAGGTTCGGTAAACTCGAAATATTTTATTCTTACCAAAATATATGTTCTTTTGGTAAGTACACACGTTGTTATACTTTTGTTTATCTATGTCGTCTCACTACTCTTTTTCCTGATCCGCCTCATTATCTTTCTTTTCCCGCCATCTTTTCTATCATTCTTGCTCTCTCAGTTTGAGCGTGTATGTGTGTGTCCGAGTGGGTGTGCGAATGTGTGATATTATAAATATATAATTACTGTTAGTAAACCACATATCTAAACTAGTCCATTACCTGTTCGTATCTTGTTTCTACTCTCTATTGCACGCCGCATGCCCCAGTAATCATATCATCACCCACGTAAGAGAATTATGTGTAGCGGATTACTGTAATTTCCTATATGGATATAGAGATCTGAAAAAGACCGAGAGTGATACTACAATATAGTTATAGCTTTTCTAAAGCAATTTAGTAATTTCATATTGACAACTCCCATTGTGGATCCATTAGATTGCTCGGGAATTGTGTCATTTTCGGCACAGTTGCGCAAATGAAGAAATTTATTTATCATTTCCCATCGTTGATGCCAATAGGGACGACCAGTATGTATACTGTGCGATGCGGGTTTAGCCACAAACGAAGAGGCGCGCTCTTTATTCGACCAATACAATATTTATTAAAGGATAATTACCAGGGGAATATATTATCTTATATGCAATGTTGGCTGTTGGTGAGTCTCTGTATACTGGGATACGCATATACATATGATATTCAACGGGCAAGAACCAAGAAGATAGGTATCTACCTCATAACACATAAGAAACGTCCGACTTGGCATATAATACAGTAAAAACCCGCGTATAAGAACATAGATTTTAAGAACATGTTAGGCTAAAATTTCCTATTTAGACCCCTTTACATAAGAACCTGTTTTAGGCTAAGATTTTAAAGTAGGTTCTTAATTTTCCATGCAGATGAAGACTTAAAAAGAAACACAGGTAAAATAAAAAAGACGAGCTCAACAATATCGATGCAATAACAATGCCAATGCCAATGCCAATGCTCAACAATAACAATCATATCTATTAATAATATAATATTATATAATATTATATTATATATATCATATAATATTATCTCAACCATAAAAAAACAAACATGTGCAACAACTAAACTCTCCATATAACACCTTACACATAACACTACTGTACTGGTAACACATGCATCGCGGTCACTAAGCCCGCGCTTAGCGCGGGTTTCAGCTAGTACATATTAAAAGTAGAAACAATTAAGAACCTATTTAAGAACTTTTTGAGCCTAATTTTTCAGTAAGCACCATTTATATAAGAACATGTTGAGGCTAACTTGGAAAAATCTATGTTCTTATACGCGGGTTTTTACTGTAGTTGCAGACGTAGAGTCAGAAACCCTGCACAAAATGAAACGTAACAGAACACCTGCATACTTCCTACGGTACCACTAAATTATAGCACTATAGCTATGAAATATTTATATGTGTAATGAACTGAGAAAATGTTGGAACATGGTCGTGACAGGGGCCTATTTTGTTTGTACCGAATCATTTCTATTAGTGAAACAAGAGGGTATGGTCCAGATATTATCTTGAAGACTTGAACCAATGAATTTACAACCGCATTTGCCTACATATTGTACATTTTCAAAAATAGCGTGAACCGTCACTTATGTTGAAATGCTTTTTATTGCACGTATTTAGTATAAATGTGAGAATTTGGCTTGACGCATGCTGTTTTTCTCGTGTTTTGGTTATATATTTTGCACAAACAGCCATGGGTAGTAGAAAGCTCGAAAGTAGGCTTACACCTACTATTTGTCTTTGACTCTTTGAGACAGAGGCAAAGTAATAATGCTGATAATCCTGGTAACTAACAATACACTTTCAATAATACAGTGTGTATATGTTATACACCTTCTAACAATATAATGTGTATTGTTAGAACAATATAATGTATGTTGTAGAACTTAACAAGAGACTATTCTCTGAAATATTTGTTTTTATTGACTTTGGTGCCACTGGTGCCATATCATGTAAAAATGTTTCGCATTTGTTAAAGTTGCTTTATCGGGATGTTTAGGACCAAAATATTTTTAATTGACGTTCTCGTCTTTGTTATAGTATATATAGTGTTATTTTAAGAAATATATCGATTTTACTTTAATTAAACTTTAAATTGACAATTATTTAATTGAATTGATTGAAATTATGTGCTTGATTTTATTGAATTTATTGAAAATGAAATTGAATTTAAATACACAGTTGTTAGGTTCTACAACAATACACACTGTATTGTTGAAAGTGTATTGTTAGTTACCAGGATTATCTGAATAATAAGGGTAACGCCATTATCGTACATTTCACATATCCGCTACATACAAACCTGTCAGGAAAGCTCTCTCCGAAGGTAAATTATGCTAGCTTACTGGCACTAATAAGATCTAACTGTAATACACAGCGAGATGGTGAGGAGATAAAACTCTATTGTAAAAGTGAACTGACAAGGACTAGCGACCACTATGCGAAACGCCATTATTGAAATGAGTTCTCCAATGCAATTATAGTGTACTCATAAAATGCACTGCAACCTCGCAAATCACTCACTCAATAGTACGGGCTTGCAAACTAGGAAAAGGGGTCGGTGGTTAGGAATGATTTCAACGCTTGAAAAGATCATGGAAATAGAACCTTGTTATTTGCAAACGACTGTAGTATAAGCGGTTGGTTATTGGATAGTTGCTGACTGTTTTCATAGCGATATATGGTAATTGGGTTGGGAACGGAGACTTGTGCTCGCAGTATTAACCTAACTAGTACTAACCTAATAACCCTAATAATACCTTACCCTTTTACTCGCCACTGACAAAATTATACATCTAAATGTCAACAGATAATAAGGCAAAATGAAAAGACATTCATAATTTTCAGTGCACCAAATTTATTAAAATAACTTCGTCAAAAATTCGTACAAGCCGTTGTCCGCGCATGCAGGGTATGCACATTGGCTGCTTGACTGTACGTCGAATAACCAGGGCGATTTTACCATGTAATTTCCTCGAATCTCTGGCTCATAAGCGGTGCGCATGTGAAGCTGATCATCGATTACCGCATGTGCGCGAGCCAGTGCTGGCTGCCACCGTACCGACGCCGTAATATCGAAATGACTGCTTCTGTGGGATTGAAGTACTCGACGAGAAGAGCTAATGCAGCGCAAATGCTATCTCATGCGGGACTTCTGATGAGACAGCGAGCGAGTGGGAACCGCATTCAGAATGTCAGGAGCGTATATGCGTGATTAGGGCCATGTATCGTTGTCCAAATTCCCATTTCATTTTACCATCGCCTAATAATGTAGACAATGGGCACGCTTTCTCTCGTCACGTTATGAGAAATATCCAGTAAAGCTAAAATAACAAAATAACAATCTAGTTGATAAATTGCTTGCAATTTTAATGAAGTGTGAAATCGTTATTTATAGTCAAGTAATTAACAAAATGATCCGATGCATGCAGCGTGGCTAAAATTTGCACGCCCACCCGCCGTAGGTTTTCCAGAAAGAAATCGCTAGAATAAATGTGAAACCGGCATTATATTGCACAAGTTAACGCATACAAAGTGTCAAGGCGTTAAGTTGCTGTCACATGGTCACGACGAAACGAAGAGAATGTAGGTCAGAGGCGCCTATGCTGGCATCAATCGATGGTGGCATCAAGCAATACGAACTGCGTGCTTATTAGTACTTGTGCTCACTGCCTCTAATGCTACGGAATTACGGCTCTGTCGTTATAGCGAAACTAAACTCGGCGGACAGGCCTTTAAATCCGTACAGTAATTCCAGATCTAACCAGAAGCAACACGACCTTTTCACTTAATGGTTTGCCCTGTAAAGCATAATTGATAAGATTTATTTGAGCAGTAAAGCGAACAAGACGCTTACCGTTGCTTTCAATGGAACCACGGACGCCGTCTTCTCGTCTTGTACACACTCGTTATCCCCAGCGCACGAATTTTGCTCGCCAAAGCATGCGCGCAATTTGGCATTATTATCATGCATGTCAGCTTGTGTTCTGTCAGTAACCGTGCCAACTCTGGGAAACGACATACAAAGTATATAGGCTAGGAAATTGTACGTGACATACATAAAATATGATCAGCGCCAATATACAACAACAAGACCACGAAGTCACAAGTAATTTTTCAACTTGAACCTAAGACGTAACCAATCACAATTGACAACTATGACGGCCTATACCATACACATTTTCTGGCGGCAACGCGTGTATGCGCATTGTGTGTGTGTGTGTGTGTGTGTGTGTGTGTGTGTGTGTGTGTGTGTGTGTGTGTGTGTGTGTCGTGCGTGCGTGCGTGCGTGCGTGCGTGCGTGCGTGCGTGCGTGCCTCCGTGCGTGCCTGCGAGCGTGCGTGCGTGTGCGTGTGCGTGTGCGTGTGCGTGTGCGTGGGAGTGCGAATGCACACGTGCTTGAATGTGGAAATATATGGGTAGGTGAGGGTGTTCCTCATAGCATGGCACTTCATGTGAACATGATTTTGCTACTCACAACTCACAATTACAGCCTAGTATTAATTCAACGATAATCGTGATGTGTTGCGTTAATGTTAAATTACACTATTAGAGATGAACAAGCAAACATCCTCACAGTTTCACATGCCAAACAATAATGACGACTAATTTTCTTAATTGACACCTGGGTCTTTACTCAAGCAGAGGGCAGCCATGAAACGTCGCTATGGTTCGGAACGGTTTTACGCCAGATGTATCATCTTATTGCGCCAGTTAGTCCCCATGTGGCGTGGTTCTTGCTCAACTGACCTTCTGCAATTAATTTTTGGGCGCCCCCGCTTTCTCTCCTCCTGAGAATTCCAGTTTTTGCAACACGTTTCGTGAGTTTCTGCAGTGTTTCCCCAATTTACGGCCACTTTCGTCAAAGCACTCGGGTTATTCGATACGAATAACATTGGTCTAACGTTGCCCACGGATTGATCGTAAGTAATTGTTCACAAAAGCCTGGATCCTATTGGTAACATGTAATTGGTTTCCCGCCAGTTTTCCGCACCATATAGTAATACTGCCTTTGCGTTGCTGTGAATTATGCTCAACGAAGTCTTAAGGCTCAACTTCTTAGATCTCCAAACCAATTTTAAGAGAAAGCAATTCTCGCTTTTCCAGTTCAAGACCTCCCATCATACTCCGACTCACTGTCGATAGCAAAATGGCTAACCGGCTGTATCTAAAATATAAAATACTTGGTTAGCTCTCTATAGCTGAGTGTACGGAGCGTGGTTATAACCGCTTCTCTATATGGTATGTTACGTTATCACCCCTCCACCCACCATCCAACACAAATCCCACCCCCACCGCGGGCGTCCCTGTTGGGACAGACACGGGCTGAATGCATCCATCCATTTCACTAATGTGCACTCTATTCAACTGTCCATTCAGCTGCCTGCTGTCAGCGCAGCTTCACGGCTGTTTGCTACTCCGAGACCCCGTGTGGATTGTACACCCAAGACCTTTTGTGCATTTCGGCGCACGCCTTTGCTGGCTGCTTTAATACACTACACGGGTACTTAAAATCTATTAAACCACACGAGATTGTCCACTCATGAAACGAAGGAAGGCATTTAAAATCGGTTATACCTCGTTGATGTGAATAGACTCACCAGGTAAAACCCTAAGCGAATAAGTATGTGCATGATGAGAAACTCAGGGCAGCGTGCGGGATAACATCTAAGCTTGTGTGATAAAACCAGCTTCCTTAGAAATTCTGTCCGCTGGCATTTACTAGCTTACAAAATTCAACGGACCATCCTTAAATGAAACAGAAAAATAAAGTTCACGTCGTTCGAATCATTAGCGCGATTCATTAGGGACTTGCTATACTCACGGCTACGCGGTTTTTATGTGCAGTTGTAAACAAGTAAAGAGCGCGGCGAGGAATATGTGCCACGGTGCTGTGGTTTGTATCTGCAACATGCGCTGCGTTGAGCCGTAGAATTCGAGCCAGCCTCCCGCGAGGTTTTATTGATGCTTCGTGAGATTACGGTTGCGACATTTAACGGCGGCCTGCACGAGAATTAACGAAAACTGTTTCGCGAAAACACTCAGGTTATAGTTGTCGTGCATGTACAGCTGCAGAGAACCTCACATCGTCCTCGTGGTGTAATACATACATGCTACGTTACACACCGGCGCGTACACATGCGCGAACGCGCATACAGGCATTTGTAATAAATTGAGAATTTACGCTGTAAGTTCATACGCATGTTCGTGTGCTAATTCTGTAATCGTTTTCTTACAGTTATGGCTGGCCTACAATGCTACGAGTGCCATAACCAGCGTAGCAATGAAGCCTGCTGGCAGACCATAGTCAACTGTTCTGAAAAAGAGGAGATTGACAAGCAAGCATACGACACTTGCTTTTCTAAAACAGTTCAAACCAGTAAACACATCACGATAGCAGTTACTTAATTTATAAGGCAAACATTGATGATGATCTCACGTTTTTATTTCACATCGTTTAGAGTGTATACGGATAGTGATATTATCGGCATACCAAAAACCAATAAAGTCTATCGCTAATTTTATTGCCTAATGGCATCGAATGATAAGCTGGTCGAATACACATGGTACGGGGCGCCATGCAGGACAGGCATTTTTGTACCTATAAACTTGACAAAAATGAGTTTTGTGAACACAAAACTCAATTCTGTCAATCCTGTCCCACAAAACTCAATTTTGTGAACACAAAACTCAATTCTGTCAATCCTGTCCCACAAAACTCAATTTTGTGAACACAAAACTCAA